ACACACACACACACACACATACACATACATACACAGTATATAGTGCCTCGCACACCTGAATCTGTAGCAGGTTTGTTGAATAAATGTTTAAAATAAACCACAAGCAATTTTCTTTCTTTTTTTGTAGTTTAAATAATTAATTATAATTATTTTAGCCTTTTTATTAAAAGGAGATTATATCTACTATCCTTGATGACAGACATATCAGCACCTACGTTTATTTTCTTGATGAATAACAGATCCATTACATACACGCAAAAGACCTCAGGGCAAACATGATCTCACTGCATTTCATATGGATATGATTCATCAAAATGGCCGTGGCAGGCATTAAAACTATGAGAAAGTCCTAAACAAGCATGTTCTGCATTACGCAAATGGGGAGAAGAGAAAATGAAAAATTTAGTATGTTTTTAGCATTAAATGCCACTATAACCGTTCAAAATAAGAATTTTGGTAGGTTATACTGTAAATAAAAATATATATAAAATATATTTTATATAGAATCTAAATATAAAGTAAATATTTAAAAAAGTATATATATATATATATATAAAAATTTAAAATATATATTTTTAATATTTAAAACTTTAAAATTATGAAAAAACTATTAAAGAAATGAATTGCACATCCAAACTGGATAAACAGTCAGAATTTTTGGGTTCATGCCCACAATTTCTATAAGGCAGCAAAATCACACTGTAAATGTTATGGAAAACGGGCATAATGCATCGCAAAACCTCAAGATATTTTCAACAATAACCTTATTAACCATAAAACTTATTTTAGAGATTAAAAGCAGATAGCTGGCCACCACAGATATAGATTATACGACAAGAGCAAGTTGTAGACACAAGAAAAGCACCTTATAACACAGCATGTTACAATTTGAAGATTAAAATAACATGCACAAACCCCTAAAAACAGCACCTACAATCCTTCATCTCTCACATTTAAAAAAATATATATAATAAAGCTTATTTCACTTGTCAAGAGCCACCGTCAGTCTAAATTATTCAAGCTCATCAAAGCACCAACCACAAACCACAAGCTTCCACGACAAACAGCTCCATGGCAACCTAGTTTTCCTGCCACCTTCTCTAAATCCCAGCAGTATAAGACAGAAGGAAAAGCACAGTTACCTCCATGGCCAGAGCGGCGGTCTGCTGGTCGTAGTGGTTGAGGAGGTTGGGCATGAAGGTGGTGTTGTAGGGAAGATCCTGGCACATTCGGAGGCCGATGGACTCGCAGGTGAACATGCTGTGACTGCCCACCGAATCCATGTGGATGCCCAGGCTGCCCGTGAACAGGGACAGAACACGCAGAGCAGCCAAGGGCCACATCCTTCGTTTCCTCCAGGGGGCGCCTGGTGGCTCAAAAGCACAATCCGCCGTTGAGTCGCATTCACATCCAACGACGTGTTTTGCGTTGTTAGAGAAGCTTATCCTTTAAAACCTGTAATTGTTTAAAAGCATTTATTTGACAGATTAGTATCTGACATACAATTGTGAAAAATCTATCACAAGTCTTACTATAAAATTAACTTCAACACTATTTTAAGGTCATCACAATCGACTCTGATTAGTCCAGGCTTAAAAGCGATGAGAAAAGTAACA